AAATCCGTTCAGCCGTTCTCGAGTTTTAGCGAGACTAACGAACAGCAATTAATTTTTATATATATAGATAAATTCAAAATCGGAGTGATTCTTACATTGACATGCAGTTGTCCAGTTTACAGATGAAATAAGAGAATTAAGCTTTCGTGTTTGTTTTTTTATAGTTAAGAATATTTTTAAATGAGTCACATGAACTTTCGTTAATTGTAGAATTATGGCACATGGTTATATATAATGTTGGATGATGATTATCTTCTGGAGTACATATAGCAGGAATTCGAATTAATTTAAAAAATTGTGTAAAATTTACAAATACTAGATCAAGGATTCTATCATTACAATTTAAAATATTATTTATTTGAAGGAGATTAATTTCACAAAATCGATTAACAATATCAAATGTATATTGGTTTACATTTGCTTCAGATGTCAACGGCGTAAAACTTTCTGAGTCTGGCAATGAGAGCCACTTTACAGATGGCATATTAAAATCACCAAGAATTAAAATTCTATCGGAATCATTTATAATATTAATAATTGAGTTTAGTGCTGCTAAATACTGATTATAAATATCAAGATGTGATGAAGGAGGTATATATGAGCACGTAACGAATAGTTCAAATTTACCCAATTCAATTGATATGCAGATAAATTCTATGTCAGGAAAACAATTTAATTTAATTAAATTAGTGGAAAATTTGACATCATCTGCAATAAATATTTGATATTTTGAACACATAATTTCACTATTTAACACAGACGTTTTGAGCCAAGTCTCAGTAAACACAATAATGCTAAATTCAAAACCAATGCTATCAGTAAATAAACGAGTTAATTTAGTGTTTAACCCCCTTACATTCTGATAGCAAATGGTAAATAGGTTATCTAGTTTTATGATACTGGTTCAGATCTCTGAGGTAAATGAGCTAAATTATCTGATCTTCCTAGAAATTCTTTAACAAACGCTCTAGCAGGCCAAAAATCTTTCGATATCAAACTTGGAAATATATCATCATGAACTAATATTTTAAATGATGATCTACTTTCAGAGTATGCCGATCGAAGCTTGTAGCATCATAGAAAATAATTACCATTTATTTTTTATTTGATATAGTAATTTATATCCTCAGCCGAGGTATCAGGCGCAAACCTAGACACAAAAACCATTTTCATGACAGGGGCCATTAATAATTGTCTTTGGGTAGGTAGTGGGGAATTGCCAGCTACAACCTCGGAAAACGCACCAGATGAAGGAAATGACAACACATGTGTACTATGAGTAGATTTGACGGTCTTCTTAAGACTACTGTTATCAATACTCATAGCGTTATGAGGTATTGTCACTTCCAATACATCCTTGCTAGCTTCCATGGTTGCATGAGACACGACACTGGCATACGTCTGATCATCAACAGCATCAGTTTTATCCATTTTATCTGACGCTGTTCGTGATACAGTATTCCCAGCAGAAATAGAGGCTTTACGAATAGGCATCATTTTAGTTAGTGCCTTCTTCGAAGACCGCTTTCGTTTCTGCCCAGAAACGGACGGCGACGATACAAATGCATCGAGTTCTTGGTACTTATTAAAAAAAATTCGAAAAATTTTCAAAACGACTTGTTAATGATGGGCGTGTGTCTTTGATCAACGCCCTGCTCATAATTACCTCTCCTACAGGATAGGCGTTATCTACCAAGACCGGATGATATGATCTTAATAGACGTCTTTCATTATTATATTACCAATTTTTTTGCATCGGTCCAAGACCCACAAGTTAAAGACAACCCAAACCATTGTATTTTTTTTACTGCTGCTACAGTCAATGTCGGGAAGGGCTCTTCACGCCGTTCACCGATTAACAGGTTTGACGAGTACTAGCGAAGCATATTTTGGTATTAAAACTTATTAATTCACTTTTCCCGTGGGTCCACACAACTTAGAAGCGGCGTACAAACTCTAATTTGAGGTTTGGGAACATCGTTTTTGTACCAAAATAACCACTAAATGGGACAATTTAAGTATCTTTGCCATTTCCAGGGTAGAACATATTCTTTCACTCAAGACCCGCATGGCCTCTTCAGAGATTATTAAACGTTTTTTCATGATTTATTTTTTTAGTTAATTATTTGTTTTTTGTTTAAAATTTTCCACAATGTTTTTTAGTAAACGGGACTTAATAAATGTAAAACTTATACTTTCTTAAAAAAAGAACTAATAAAAAAAGAACTAAATAAAGATTTAAAAAAGTGTTTTGGCATTCTTTTTCTTCAAATACATTGGATACATTGGAGTTAATTTTTTTCCTTATTTTTTTCCTAGAAATTTAAGAGTTAAGTGTTTAAATTTAGGTTGTGTTGTTAATTACCAAACAAAACACCTAATAAAATACAATCAACATTTTTGAATTTGCTTTTTTACTTTTATTTTTATGGCGTAAAAAGTACAAACATGTACAAACATGTACTCGCTTCTGCTCGCCACTATATATATATATATATACAGTGAGTGTAATAAGTATTTTGCCTCAATAAAAATTTGAAAAAATTCCAATATATACGCCTAAAGCCAGCAAACTAAAGATGTAAAATGAATTATGTGTGATGGAATATGTTTGTGGACATATTTAGATCGTATTTCTGCAAGAATCATTGCGATAGACCGATTGGTCTCGAAGATATCGGCCGAAATCTATAACAACCCAAAAATGTTTATCACAAAAAAGTATTTTGCTTTTTAATATTATTTTAGAAAAAATATTACATAAAACACGTTTTGTCCTTTTATAGTTGCAATTGCGGTTAACCACATACTATAAGCGGTTTGTCGATGATTCCAATACATCACGGCATTTTTTCGTGGGTATTTTCTCACATTTACATTCAATACATTATCCATCAGTATTTCATTTAATATTTGGTATTTTCTCGTCCTAATCTTAAGATAAGAGTATTAAACATAGTCATTGCGGCTTCAAAACATCCCAAATATGTTTAGAATAATAAAAAAGAGGGTTTGCAAAATATAACGCGAGGACAGAACCTTAAAAACTATTAAAACCAAAATCCGACAAACAAATTATTGAAAAAAAATCGCGAAACCCAATTTTTCTGACTTTGAAATTTGTATGGTCCAGTAATATTGATCTAGGAACCAATATATGCAATGGAAATACCAATAAGGAGGTCAGATTCAAAGATATGAACAGTTCTAAAGCAATAGTAATAAAAAACAATACATGAAGTTGGGAGAAAACATCATTATTCGTCAAATCATATTGTCTTTTGAAAAACTGTGGTTGCTGGTGGCGAATACGCATTCTATATTTTATCTCCGATTAACACCATCAGTTGCGAATAAAATGCAGTAGGGAATAAACGGTTCGATCTATTTATTTTCGAAATAAGATGTATTTCTATTGCCAGAAAACCGTCCATATTTTTGAATCTGACCTCCTTATTGCTATTTTCATAGTATATTTTGGTTCCTAGATCAGTAATAATGAACCATAAAGTTTTCGAAGTTAGAAAAATGGGGTTTCGCGATATTTTTTTAAATAATTTGTTTGTCGGATTTTGGTTTTAATAGTTTTTAAGGTCCTGTCCTCGCGATATATTTTGTAAAACCTCCTTTTTATTATTCTTAACATATTTGGGATGTTTTGAAGCCGCGACGACTATATTTAATACTCTGATTTTTAAATTTTGGACGAGAAATTACGAAATATTAAATGAAATATTGCTGGAGAATGTATTGAACGTAAATGTGAGAAAATACTCGCGAAAAAATGCCGTGGTTTATTGGAATCGTTGCCAAATCACTTATAGTATGTCGTTACCCGCAATGGTAACTATAAAAAGACCAAACGTGTTCTATGTTACAATTTTTTCTAAAATAATAATAAAAAGCAAAATACTTTTTTGTGATAAACATTTTTGGATTGTTATATATTTCGGCCGATATCTTCGAGATCAGTAGGTCTTACGCTGTGATTCTTGCAGAAATACGATCTAAATATGTCCACAAACATACTCCATCATAAATAATTCATTTTACATCTTTAGTTTGCTGGCTTTAGGCGTATATATTGGAATTTTTTCAAATTTTTATTGAGGCAAAATACTTATTACACTCACTGTATATATATATTAATTGTTTAACTTATCAAATTTACAGTGCGAAAGAAAAGAAAGAACGGTATAACCATACGGGTTTTGGCCTGTGTTTTACAATAAAGATTAAAATGAATGATAGGTATATGGAAACATAGAAAACACATGTTTTTGACCTGGAAGGTACCTATTGGTTTCCAATAACGATTTTTGTTATTCTTCGTTTGGAAAATCACCATGTTGGGAATTGATCTACACGATTCGACTTCAAAGCACTTTATTAAAAAATACAATATATTGTAGTAGTATTTCGTTATATTTTAGTCGATGTAGTTTGACAAATATTTAACTTCTTGCGTGGAACATTAATATCTTTGCTGTGTGCTCTCTGGCTATATTAGCCAAAATACCCATCTCTCCATAAACTGCATTTTTGGTACATATCATAAATGTTAATGTTTATAGTGAAATACAGACCATAGTTTATATGACTACATTTTCATTCTATTAGATTTTTCATGTAAAAATGTCACTTTTGTTATAAAAACAAAATAATTTCCGACCAAAAATGTGTTCAAACTACTTTGTTAACTTTGTTAAAAAAAAATAAAAAATTTTTGATTAAAAAAATTAATTTTTTTCGTACATGCAAAAAGATCTTCCTTTTTATCATGCCAAATAGTTGAGAAATGTTTTAAGTCATACTCAAACTTACAACAGCAGCTTAAACACAAATATTTTGTGTGATATGTTTGCCCTAAATAATTTTGCTAAAATCAAGAACTAAACAAAAGCATGTAATGGCGATGTTATGTGAAATGTGTATATGATTGTGAATGTTTAAATTATTGTATTAAATCTATGGCCTAGATTACATACTAAAGTAGTTACCTATTATAGAATTTTAAAAATATTCCGTTAATTATGAATTTCAAATATGGATCGAGTCCGGGTTTTCGTGGTCCACCTCCTAAATTTTTCGGTATAGCCGTAGTCACTAGTGCATACAATAAATCAAGTATTCCACAAGTAAGGGGATACTGCTCAAGTCGGCATTCATTTTGCTCGATTTCCATCTCCAAATTGCAGGTTTCTAAAAGGGTAATTTATATTATAACTAACTCAATTTTTATTTATTTTCGCATAGCATTACATTTTCAACAAAAATAAAAATTAAAATACTTCAGTTTCTTACCGTAGGTTATATTGGAGGGAAGAGTTTTTATAATTTGAGAAGCCTCCAAATTGTTCCAAAGTGGCATTGCTGTCTCCTTCGATTTTGCCAAAGCCGTTAAAGTCGTAAGTATATCAGACTTTAAGTAAATAGGAACTGAGCAGCTGAGGAGTCCTAAAAAAACAAAGATAACGATAATTAACTGTTTTTAGGCGTAATTTAATAAGATGCTTGCCAATTAATGTGTAAAGAGGATTCCAATTAGGATGTTCACAAATTGCAATCCGCGCTACCTCATCATGGGACGCTACAGCACGTAATACTTCCAGCACAGCTCGTAAACCATCGATTTCCTGGGGATTTATATTACGATTCATAATACGATTTTTATATATAGAATCAGTGGAAGGGTAAAAGTCCTGTTTCAAATTTCTGCAATATAAATAAAAACATTAAATTATGTATGTTAGAAAAAAACGAATAAGTCGATTATAAAATTCCCAAACGTGGTTTGAACGGGTGTTTGGATTTTATCTCATAGCTAAATTTGTACATATTATTAAGCGGTAAAACACTGCTGAAAAAATCAATATTTCGAGTAGTTCACGTGATTAACAGTACGAATTATTAGAAAATCCACACCTAGTTTAAACAAAATTCTTAGCTAATAATTAAAAGCCCATCTAGGGTTTTAAAGGGTGTTAAAGATGGAAGTAGACAAAGAGAAAATTCAGTACATTTTACAGTTTTTCTTTGACAAAGCCAAAAATGCAAGCCAAGCGGCTAAACTTGTGAATGGTGTTTAAGGTATCGATACTGTAACAGCCAATTATGTGCAATTTTGGTTTCGTAGATTCCGTTCAGGAATTTTTGATGTTAAAAATGCAACTGGCACAGGTAGGCCGGTCGTCGAAAATGTCGATAAAGTCGGAGAAATGATCGAAGTTGACCGGCCATGTTGGCAGTCGGAACATCACCCAGGAGCTAAAATCGACCACACAACTGTTTTAAACCATTTACAATTGGCCAAAATTGGCCAACAGGAAAACGCTAGACCACACCCATCTACAGTCATTCGCCAGAAACTTTGGGAGCTTAGTTGGGAAGTTTTAATGCATCCGCCATACAGTCCGGACATTGCACCAAGCGATTATCATATTTTTCTTGCATTGAAAATTTCTGTAATGATACAAAATTGGTATCTAGGGAAGATTGTGAAAATCGACTACTCGAGTTTTTTGCAAATAGACTTCTTTGAGAGAGGCATTATTAATTTACCTTTAAAATGGCAACAAATCATGCAACAAAACTGTGCATATTTGGCACAAATCGGACATTCCGGATCATGTTAAATAAAGTCCTATAGTTCATATAAAAATAATGGGTTTCTTTTCCCCAACCTAATATATATACATACTTTTGGTTTGACTTAAAAAATAGTGATAAGTGCATAGAATAAGATTTTTATGTTTGCCTAGTACTTAAGGATACCCCCTACCATTCTCGGTTTCAAAACATTTAATTTTGTATTTTGATTTAATTCGAACCTACACTTATTCAAGAATGTCCCTATAAATTTTCAAGTGAAAATCTCAACAACTTTTGAAGATATAGCCGATTTATTATGTTTGCATCAAGTGACAGCAAGAGGGCTTCTCAAACTTTAAACGCGTTTTTCTCCAAACAGCGTTAAGTGAAATATGGTCCAATGTTGTCCACAGGCAACAAAATGTTTTAAAGCTTATATTTAGTATACAGGTAGTAGATATGCATTCTTTGGAATTCCTGTGTCAAGGCGTGATTATGGACGACACATATCACAAGAAAAATCTAAAAAAATCAAATTTTTTGTAAAGCTACGAGCTTTTTAATATAGTGAAGAGGGCAAAAAGCTTTTGGTATATGATGGCAATACGAAATTACCATTATAATGAAAAACTTCCAGCCCATAACGTAGCAAGTTTGATAGTTCAACAACAAAAAAACTTACTGGAGTTTACTGAAAGATTTTTATGCAGTAAAGTTTTGCGAAATCAAAATCAGGCTTTGGCGCTTCAATATGTTAGAAAATAAAACGTTATTTGTTTTGTAAAATGTACTAGAAATCCAAGATGTGTACAAAAATGGACTTAAGGAGATCCCAATCCCAGCCCAAGTGTCGTTGTTCTGCCCACGAGTCGTCATCCTGCGATCGTGAGCAGCAATCACCTACAGATTTTGGTGTATTGGCATCTGTAGTCGAAGGTACAGCTACAAGCACTCAGCCATCAGACAATACAGCCTTCAGATACAGGAGGGGACTCAAATTCGAATTCTGAGTCTGAACATGAAAATCAAATATAGTTGTCTGGTCGGCCTCTTCCTAGGAAGAAGCAGTTGTTTGGGGCACAAAGACGGAAGTTGGCCAGAATGAACCGGATGAACAAAAAGTGCGAGAAGCAGACAGAGGCTCAAAAGAATAAGCCCTCCACTTCTGCGGAAGAGGCGAAAAAGAAAAAGAGCTTCCCGTCGACCGATAATAAGAGACTGATCCGATTTCCTACTGGAGTGTTCATTGAATACGTACAACGTTTCGTTTTTGTGCTCAAACTTGGTGTTGAATTTTTCGCGGTAATACGTAATCCTGTGGTTTAAAAAGTCGTGTCGCTTTGTTGGGTATGTTACACCACTTTTCTAGTGACCAAGCTTTATGAGATTTTGCATAACTCAACTTAGCGTTACCATGCTTCCATGTCAAAAAGGGGACCTTTCTAGGACTTCTGGCACCTACTGTGCCGTTCTAGACACATATCCCCCAAACGTCTTAAGCCAAGTTATTCAAGTTTTTTTCTTATCTGTTATTGCGTTAAATACCCTTGTAGCAATGACATTTTAAATTTCTTTGCACCTTATTCTTCATTTCTTAACTTTGTTATCAATCCTCTTGTCGCAGCCGTGCAAGTTTTTCCTCTTCCCACTAAAAACTAATACCATTAAGTAAATTAATGGAAATTAATTAAAATATCAAACGACAATATATTGCTGGTTTATAAAACACTTTTGCTTATTTTTGGCTTTATTTATTTGTTTTATTAGCATACACTTCGACCTTACTATATATATATATATAAAGGAGAGAGGGGGCACCTTTTGAACGGGGGCACCTTTGAACAACGCTCATAAAATCTTGGTTTAAATTTTTTCAGACCCGCTAACACATTTTTGTATATGGCAATCTTGTTCTTTATCTGCGTAAACCACTTTGGCTAGCTTTTTCAGTTGTCGACAAATTGTACATGGGTGGTCATGTTTTCGCAGTGTAATTGTAAACTTTTATTCTTTTGGTTGTAAGGGCGCAGGAAGAATTCTGTGAAAGTTTTCTTTCGTTAAACAATTTTTTTGAATTCCAATAATCATTTCAAACATAACTAATGTAATTTCTTGCATATATATTTATTAAAAAAAGTTATTATACATTTCCGTAAAATGCCACGGGTGGGGCACCTTTGAACATGCCCATTAAATTCGAGTAAAAAGCGGAGTTTTTAAGTTTTGCCTTCGATTTCTCAAAATTTCAAATGGGATAATAAGACTACAAAATTAACTGTATTTTTCATCATATTAATTTTTGTTTTGATGTAATTTTAAGTTTTAATAAATTTTGATCTGAATTTTTTAATAAATTTTGATCTGAATTTTTTAGTTTTCGAAAATTTTTGTATATATTTTTTAATAAATAAATACATTTCTGACATGTTTGAATAAAGTATGTCATATGTATTTTCAATGTATAGGATACATATGCACCTATTAATTAAAATTTATAAGAAACCAAAAATTATAAAATAAAAAATTTTATTAGGCTTGAAAGAAAAATGTGTTCAAAGGTGCCCCCTCTCCCCTATATATATATAGGCAATATTGCCAATTTTTTAATATTCAATTTTCAAAAAATCAGCTTTTTTGTTTTTGTGGCACATCAATGATTTTTGGTACACATATAGAGAAAAATGTTCTGAATCCGAAACCTTTCGCGATCAAATTTTTGGTTGATGCGCGCAAAAGTTATCGAGGTTTTAATTTTGGGCATAAGAAAAAAATCTTAAAATTACGCCGTTTATTATATTGACCAAAAAGGTTGATATATATCTTCCTCCGTAAAGTAAGAATATGCATATATTATAATAATCGCGATAAAGTTGTACATCTTCGCGAAATATGAGAAAAATAATAAAAATATAGGAGATTACGTCAATATTTTCATGATATTTATGACATTCACACACCTAAAAATGTATATAAAATATCTACATAATCTAAACACCATGATGAATCAAATGATATGAAAATCACACAAGTCGCTGTAGCGGTTTGTAAATCAGAGCGACAACAAATCAAGGTATAGAGGAATAATATTTGTTTTTGCTTCGAAAAAATAATGTCATCATATTTATTTTTTAATTTTATACAAGAAATTTCAGAAAAAAATGTTGGGGTTATTCTGCTATTTTATCCGAATTTCGCCGAAAAATTGACATATTTAAAAATAATCACATTTGGTGTTTATTCCGCACTGGAAAATCGGACTGCGAAAATTCCAACGGTGTTAGAACGAGTACATGACTAGCTCTCGTGAACTAGTATTATTGACTTCGCTCAAAATATAACAAAATGACGGACCTTTGAAAAAAATATTTTTGGAAAATCACATAATTTTTATCATAAACCACGTTGAAAAATAAAGAAGATATTCACCGATTGGTTTTATCCTAGTTCATACGAGAGCTATACATTAAAGATTGAGAATTACTCTTGGCGTCACTTGATGCTGACACAATAAATCGGCTATCTCTTCAAGAGTTCTTGAGATAAGTATACACCTTGTGGATCCTTCCGATAAATCTTTTTACAGGAGTGTAGTTACGTAGTTACATACTATTGTAGTTACGTCCGTTTGAATTTCTTTAAATAGATCGCTGTTTTGACGTTAGATGTCTAATTTTTTGTGTGAACATGCAGTTTGACTAAACGACCAATAATCAAACAAAAAGTCAATTTCGAATTTTTCTGTCCGTTTGCATTTATGATGACGATATGTATGTATTTGGTTGTATGTTTGGCATTTGTAAATTGGTCAACTGCACTACTATTTTTATGAACACAACTGTATATACGCATATAAGATATTCATAATTTTTAAGGTATGATTATTATTGATTATACATTCAAGTA